TCATGTCGAAGGGAGGCCGCGGGGGTAGAAACAAACACTGTGACCTCCAAAGTGCAAAAGATATTGGCACACAAGTTTGAGGTTTCAACTGGATTTGGTATTCTGAAGATAAACAAAGTTGAGTTCGAAGTACGCAACATCGAGGGTGCTACATTCCACGACGATCTGTAAACAAAACATGTTCGTACTGTTCCACGATGATCTGTAAACAAAACATGTTCGTACTGAGGATTCCAATTGTTGTCAATTCCGTGTAGTCATGCAATACATGCTGCAGTGTGTGCCAAAATGAAGGTTCATTCTCTAGTAGTTATGGAATATAGCACAAGCAATTGGAGAAAGACGTATGATGCAAACATAAATCCGGTGAATGAATTCAGAATTACAGTTGAATTGGTGGACGGTCTGACAGAGATCCATATGCATCCACCCGCAACACGTTGTCTACCATGAATGCCTCGTAAAACAAGTATTTCCTCAGGAGGCGAGATCTGAGAAAGTATATGTTTTGTTAGTTACAAATATAGTAACGGTTATTTTTTAAATTAAGACAGCTTATTTAGAAGCATTATTAGCCAAGACAGTTATCAGAGGAAGTCGAGGACTTTAGGATGGTGCGGTGGGTTACGCCATAACCGGGCTACGTGTAAAATGTCTCTAAGATAAATGCCCAACAAATGGCCTGGTGGAGGGGCAACGTGAACGTAGTTTGAAGTCTTTACCATGGTATGTTAAAAGCTATTTTGGGTTAGGATACTTCCAGTATTCACAATGTAAGGTAGTATTATGTAACCCAAACGGTGGTTTAAGCCTAGGTTGTATTTATAGTGAATGTTAAATACCAAATAAGATTGTCCCCACGTTTGTAAGATAAGTAATGTTTAGGAACCTTAAATGTAACCCTTTGTAATTAAAATTAAAAAAAAACTATGTAGGATTAGAGTTGACAGTGTTCAATTTACAGATCTTCGATATATATGTGGTTCTATTAAGAGATCTTCAATCTTCGATATCTATGTTGATAGAAACAAGTATTAGAAAGTTTAGTACAACACTTAAGAGCGATGGGGTACAAATCCTTCTTAATCATCGCCTCTTACTAAAATCCAATGTTACAGTCAAGTATTTGTAAGCTTTGCGTCGGGATGTCAACACAAATAGTAACTCAGTGTAGTTTGTCAAAATTGAAAGGGAAATAGAGACGGTTTGGGATAACTATTTCTTGGTTTGGCATCTGAAAGAAGTGCAAAATGTTCTTCGGGAAAGAGAAGTTCTCTTTAGCAAGCGTTGAACAAAATTTTGTCGAATGTTTCAATAACGCAGGTGCAAACTTTGAATCTAGAAAATATGATTTCTCCTCATCAGCAGGTGTTGTGCATTGATATATATAAACCACGTATAATGCATCAAAATGTCAACCATCTGAAAGAGAAGAAGGATACAAGTAAAATTAACATATAGATGAGTCGACGGTTAAAAAAAGATTGGACCACAAAATAGTGAGAATTAAGCTAACTTTAAACCACTAAGTTATTTTAGTACTTGCTTTAACATGGACTTGCTTTACCCTACGACCACTGTCTACAATCTCTTTAACAGTAACTGCAGAGCCGTTGTTAATCTTAATCGCGCTACAATTACAGTGGTGAAAAACAGTTAACCACTAAAGCAAATGGGTAACTGTTGAGAAAAAACATATAAGATTTTACATTTCTAAGATTTTGGAGTCTTGGATGCAAGGAGTCCAAACTTATCGGCATAATTTACAGATGGTTTCTAGAGGAGATTTAGCAAGCTTCACCGTCCTGTGATCATACTGGTAGATTGGACGGAACAGTTCTCTGCCTTTTGCTAACACGTCGAACTAAACCACCATCAGCTCCATCCATCGTTTCATAATCCGGTTCAGACTAATATGTAAGAAATTGAACTAAATAAAATAGACTGTACTTTACGATTGGTTATAAAAACACCTCTGATACATTACAACCATGTCGTCTGCCCTTCCATTGTTACAAGTTTGAGATCCTGATTTTACCAAAGGATCCGCCTCGGAATCGGTATCACCATTAGGTTGAAACACAATTAAAGAACAAATTAAAAATTAGTTTATAAGACTAGAATTAAAAATTAAACTGTACGAATTTAGTTAGTAGTTGATATTTATATTGGCCCAATCATTACCTTATCACCCATCTAGTTGGTACTACGTGTAACAGCATCTAACTCTTTCATAACGGAAGCAATGGTCGGCAACCTCAGATGGACTTATTACATCAGCACCTATAGGGTGGATGACCACCATCTGGTTCTATAACACTGTCAACTCCAGCTGAGCCAACCGATGGATGATTTTTCTTCGCCATGACCACTAGATCCACAATATGCTCAGGTCTGTCAGAGTCACGTTAACCCAACACCAAAAATTCAGCTCGAATATTCGAAAGCTTGTTATCCATAGCAGCCAAAACGTTTGTTTCAACCTCTGAGATCTCCCCTCGCATCATAGTAATCATCTCTAATGTTGAATTCACTTTTGTGTTCAACTCTAAAAGTATTAAGACAATTTTATTGGCAACTACCCCATCCAGATGATCAACATCAAAACATCAACATACATGTTTGGAGTCGGACACCCGGCGGCAGATGCTTCTTCTTACATGCCGTCCTCACCATTCTCATCAGCTTTTTGTTTTTGCTACTACTCTTCTTTCTCTCTTTTTTTGGGCAACATCATCACGAGTTAGCCCACCAGATAAAATGTTTTTCGTGATTTTTATTGATCAATTCAACTAATGTGTCAACCGTTTCCTCAGCCACATCCACATCCCAGGTTACATCCAACGGGCCATCAGGTTCTCCTGATATGATACACTCAACCTCAACCTGCGGTGAAAAATAAGATAAACGGTTACAATAGTGCTTAAACATCAAAGGAAAGCAGACACCAGAATTTAAACCCTATCATTTAAAAAATGGTTTTGACAGTTAAAATAGTTATTAGACATGAATGGAAACAAACAACAAAGATTAAAAAGTTTGTAACGGTTAACATTAAGATACCCATGTTACTAATGATTATAACTTAAACAAATGTTTTGCTCGTTTTTAAATCCCACAGACATTAAAAAAAAAACTTGAACAAAGGTTAAAAGACATACATTGTCAGACTCACACAATAACCTAACGTGGATAGGTGGAACCCTCATTTTCGGACCAGCTTCATCTTTATTAACATCATTTTCTGTCTCATTGTCAGCATCATTGTCCCCCTCAGTTTCCGAATCAGATGACACAACCCCACCAGGAAGCACATACACAACCAGAGCAAGTATAGTTATGACAAGGACCAACAGTAATGCAAAAGTAAAGCCTTTAATCGCAAGTGTGTTTTGAGATAGCTCAATCTCATTTCTTGCTTTAACACTGCTCATTGTCATGTTAAACGCCAATCTACCCTAAGAGTACCAAAAAAACTCATCAATATCCTAGATCATCTCAACATGCATTTTCCCAATCTTCATCGTATGAGCTGTTGGTAGTAATACACCAGAGACGAGTGCCAACCACGCATATTTGATCCTAACATCTTTGTATGTCACAGTCTTCATCTTCAGCATCTTCGTAACACGGTCGAAAATGATTGAATCAAGATTACCAAATAAGACAGACCAGTATGGTCTCTCCATTAATTTG